TGACCATGACTGTACTCTGGTATGATGAAACAAAAATAGAACTGTTTGGCCATAATGACCATCTTTATGTTTGGAGGAAAAAGGGGGTTGCTTGCAAGCCGAAGAACACCATTCCAACCGTGAAGCACGGGGGTGGCAGCATCATGCTGTGGGGGTGCTTTGCTGCAGGAGGGACTGGTGCACTTCACAAAATAGATGGCATCATGAGGAAGGAAAATGATGTGGATATATTGAAGCAACATCTCAAGACATCAGTCAGGAAGTTAAAGCTTGGTCGCAAATGGGTCTTCCAAATGGACAATGACCCCAAGCATACTTCCAAAGTTGTGGCAAAATGCCTTAAGGACAACAAAGTCAAGGTATTGGAGTGGCCATCACAAAGACATGACCTCAATCCTATAGAACATTTGTTGGCAGAACTGAAAAAGCATGTGCGAGCAAGGAGGCCTACAAACCTGACTCAGTTACACCAGCTCTGTCAAGAGGAATGGGCCAAAATTCACCCAACTTAATGTGGGAAGCTTGTGGAAGGCTACCTGAAACGTTTGACCCAAGTTAAACAATTTAAAGGCAATGCTACCAAATACTATTAGTGTATCAACTTCTGACCCACTGGAAATGTGATGAAATAAATAAAAGCTGAAATAAATCATTCTCTCTACTATTATTCTGACATTTCACATTCTTAAAATAAAGTGGTGATCCTAACTGACCTAAAACAGGGAATTTTTACTAGGATTAAATGTCAGGAATTGTGAAAAACTGAGTTTAAATGTATTTTGCTAAGGTGTATGTAAACTTCCGACTTCAACTGTACATTAATTTCTACAAACATTAATGACATCACACTTGCTCAGATCAACATGTTCTCACATGTTCCCACTGTATCCACACCCATCATGCCCATCTCACAATATTTTCTCTCCTTCCTCATCCTTTGAATATCTCCAGTGCTTGTAATATTTTATGCCATATGGCTTCAAATTGTACTATTTTGTTTGTCTCTCTAGCCCAAATGTTTTCAATATTTAGATAGTTATGCATTTGATTCATCCACTTTCTTAACGATGGAGGGTCATTTGATTTCCAGTTTTTAAGCAAACATTTTTTTCAAAATGATTGACGAGTCCAACTCCATTGGGTGTTTTTCCTCACCCTCATATGCCATGTTTTGAAATATGCAGATAGAAGTTTAACAATATAAGTTTAATCTGTCTGACAGCCAACTTTCTACCTCCGCCCATAACTTTTGGACATTATAGTAGGCATGAATCATTTAGTCACTGTTAGTTTTACACTTAAGCCATGACTCTGCCGTTGTGCTTTAGAATTTGTCAATTTTGTCTCTTGTATAACAAATTCTGTACATTAGTAAATGTCCAATAACTGTAATTTCGTTAGTTCTGTTCCAACACTCCCTCCATCTTGTGCCAATATCAGTTATTTTTAGGTCTTGGTTCCAATAGTTTATATATTTTTCTAAGAAATTGTCAGTTGGATAGGCTTTAATTCTTAATGACCAAGGGGTTTTCAGTATCAACACTGTAAGGTTAATTTTGGTGGTGTAGTTAATGAGTATATTTGATGTCTATTTCACCTGTTTTGGGTCTATGTTTCAAGAACAGCGCCGGAGAAGATGGCTGCCGTTTTACAGCCCTCTAACCAATTGTACTATTATGTGTGTTTTTCCGCGTTATTTGTAATTTATTTTGTAAATAATGTTTCTGCCATCGTCTCTTATAACCAAAAAGAGCTTCTGGATATCAGGACAGCGATTACTCACCTCGTATTGGACGAAGATTTTTTCTTCAACGAGGCGGCCGCGAAGGATATCATACAAACACCCGACAAGGCCCAAATCCCCGTCATTCGCGTGAGGAAGAGACGGAGATATCGTGGACGTAGATCGGGGTGCCTTGTAAGGATCCGACGGCGAGCGAGTAAACTGCCTCTTCCATCAATCCTATTAGCCAACGTTCAATCATTTGAAAATAAATTGGATGACTTAAGATTACGGTTATCCTACCAACGGGACATTAAAAACTGTAATATCTTATGTTTCACCGAGTCGTGGCTGAACGACGACATGGATTTCATACAGCTAGCGGGCTATACGCTACATCGGCAGGATAGAACGGCTGACTCCGGTAAGACAAGGGGTGGCGGTCTGTGTATATTTGTAAACAACAGCTGGTGCACAAAATCAAATACTAAGGAAGTCTCGAGGTTTTGCTCGCCTGAGGTAGAGTATCTTATGATAAGCTGTAGACCACACTATTTACCAAGAGAGTTTTCATCTATATTTTTCATAGCTGTCTATTTACCGCCACAAACCAATGCTGGCATTAAGATTGCACTGAATGAGTTGTACAAGGCCATAAATCAACAGGAAAATGCTCATCCAGATGCAGCGCTCCTAGTGGCCGGGGACTTTAATGCAGGGAAATTTAAATCCGTTCTACCTAATTTCTACCAGCATGTTAAATGTGCAACCAGAGGAAAAAAAAACTCTAGACCACCTTTACTCCACACACAGAGACGCATACAAAGCTCTCCCTCGCCCTCCATTTGGCAAATCTGACCATAACTCTATCCTCCTGATTCCTGCTTATAAGCAAAAACTAAAGCAGGAAGCACCAGTGACTCGGTTAATAAAAAAGTGGTCAGATGACGCAGATGCTAAGCTACAGGACTGTTTTGCTAGCACAGACTGGAACATGTTCCGGGATTCTTCAGACAGCATTGAGGAGTACACCACATCAGTCACTGGCTTCATCAATAAGTGCATCGATGATGTCGTCCCCACAGTGACCGTACGTACATACCCCAACCAGAAGCCATGGATTACAGGAAATATCCGCACTGAGCTAAAGGGTAGAGCTACCGCTTTCAAGGAACGGGACTCTAACCCGGACGCTTATAAGAAATCCCGCTTTGACCTCTGACGAACCATCAAACAGGCAAAGAGTCAATACAGGACTAAGATTGAATCGTACTACACTGGCTCTGATGCTCGTCGGATGTGGCAGGGCTTGAAAACTATTACAGACTACAAAGGGAAGCACAGCCGCGAGCTGCCCAGTGACACAAGCCTACCAGACGAGCTAAACCACTTCTATGCTCGCTTCGAGGCAAGCAACACTGAAGCATGCATGAGAGCACCAGCTGTTCCGGATGACTATGTGATCACGCTCTCCGTTGCCGATGTGAGTAAGACTTTTAAGCAGGTCAACATCTCACAAGGCCGCAGGGCCAGACGGATTACCAGGACGTGTACTCCGAGCATGTGCTGACCAACTGGCAAGTGTCTTCACTGACATTTTCAACATGTCCCTGACTGAATCTGTAATACCAACATGTTTCAAGCAGACCACCATAGTCCCCGTGCCCAAGGACTCTAAGATAACCTGCCTAAATGACTACCGACCCGTAGCACTGACGTCTGTAGCCATGAAGTGCTTTGAAAGGCTGGTCATGGCTCACATCAACAGCATTATCCCAGAAACCCTAGACCCACTCCAATTTGCATACCGCCCCAACAGATCCACAGATGATGCAATCTCTATTGCACTCCACACTGCCCTTTCCCACCTGGACAAGAGGAACACCTACGTGAGAATGCTATTCATTGACTACAGCTCAGCATTCAACACCATAGTGCCCTCTAAGCTCATCACTAAGCTAAGGATCCTGGGACTAAACACCTCCCTCTGCAACTGGATCCTGGACTTCCTGACGGGCCGCCCCCAGGTGGTAAGGGTAGGTAACAACACATCTGCCACACTGATCCTCAACACGGGGGCCCCTCAGGGGTGCGTGCTCAGTCCCCTCCTGTACTCTCTGTTCACCCATGACTGCATGGCCAGGCACGACTCCAACACCATCATTAAGTTTGCCGACAACACAACAGTGGTAGGCCTGATCACCGACAACGATGAGACAGCCTATAGGGAGGAGGTCAGAGACAACCTCTCCCTCAACGTGACCAAGACAAAGGAGATGATTGTGGACTACAGGAAAAAAAAGAGGACTGAGCACGCCCCCATTCTCATCGACGGGGCTGTAGTGGAACAGGTTGAGAGCTTCAAGTTCCTTGGTGTCCACATCACCAACGAACTATCATGGTCCAAACACACCAAGACAGTCGTGAAGAGGGCACGACAAAGCCTATTCCCCCTCAGGAGACTGAAAAGATTTGGCATGGGTCCTCAGATCCTCAAAAAATTCTACAGCTGCACCATCGAGAGCATCCTGACTGGTGGCATCACCGCCTGGTATGGCAACTGCTTGGCCTCCGACCGCAAGGCACTACAGAGGGTAGTGCGTACGGCCCAGTACATCACTGGGGCCAAGCTTCCTGCCATCCAGGACCTCTATACCAGGCGGTGTCAGAGGAAGGCCCTCAAAATTGTCAAAGACTCCAGCCACCCTAGTCATAGACTGTTCTCTCTGCTACCGCATGGCAAGCGGTACCGGAGTGCCAAGTCTAGGTCCAAAAGACTTCTCAACTGCTTCTACCCCCCAAGCCATAAGACTCCTGAACAGCTAATCATGGCTACCCGGACTATTTGCACTGCCCCCCCACCCCATCCTTTTTACGCTGCTGCTACTCTGTTAATTATTTATGCATAGTCACTTTAACTCTACCCACATGTACATATTACCTCAACTACCTCAACTAGCCGGTGCCCCCGCACATTGACTCTGCAACGGTACCCCCCTGTATATATAGCCTCCCTACTGTCACTTTATTTTACTTCTGCTCTTTTTTTTCTCAACACTTTTTTTTGTTGTTGTTCTATTTTTACTTTTTTTGTTAAAAATAAATGCACTGTTGGTTAAGGGCTGTAAGTAAGCATTTCACTGTAATGTCTGCACCTGTTGTATTCGGCGCATGTGACCAATAAAATTTGATTTGATTTGATATGTTGAAGACATTATTTGACTTAAGTTTCCCATCTCTTCCATACAGCACAGGAGACAAGTATGCCCCAGGGAACATGGGACTACTTGACCAGGTGGAAGCTTTGCGGTGGGTCCAGGAGCACATCCACAACTTTGGGGGCGACTCCAAGTCGGTCACCATATTTGGAGAGTCTGCTGGTGGAGTGAGTGTATCATTACTGGTGAGGACACAAACACACACACACACACACACACAAACAGAAGCACACACACATATACACTCACATATTGTTTGTGCTTTTGAATAGGCTCTTAACATTGTCGTTTTTTTATCGCTAGCTTCATTCACCGTTGTCTGCTGGTCTGTTCCATCATGCGATAGCTGAGAGTGGTACTGCAGCTATGGAACCTATCATAAATTCCGACCCCTTGTCTGTGGCCCAGGTATTTTCAAACTCTGTCTCTCCACCAAAAGAAAGGTAAACACAGTCATAGGTCTACCTCACACCATCAATATCCTATTTTTCATCACAACCATGGCAAGTGATTATTATGTTTGTCTCATAGATGGTGGCAACCATATTGGGCTGTAACAGCAACAACACAGAGCAGATTGCAGACTGTGTGGAGAAGTTGACTGCTGATGACATAGTTAATGTTCATAAACAGGTGAGATGTCCTGGACACCAGAATGATTTGAGCACTGTTCTCTGATACAAAAGCCACAACAAACTTTTAGGCTCAGTTATATTTTCATTTTTGTCTTAAAAAAAAAAAAATCAGTAGGGGTCTCAATTTACTATTGAGAGTAAGAATAGTAGAACACACCAGGTGCCATTTTCTCTTGTTATGCCAGTCACTGACAGTCACTCAATTAGCCATGTCAGCTAACAATTTTTAGATTGGTAGTTAGTCTAGCCAGCTATCTAAACTTGTAGTAATCATGGCCGTATACCGACGGGGCACGCAGGGCACATTCCCAGGGTCCCTGACCTTCAGGGGTCCCCCATTGATTTTGTTAGTAATTTTCACTCAGATATCACATTAACATGGCATAAGTTATTACAAAATGTGTAGAATTGCAGGAAATCTGCTTTAAAACTGCAACAATTTATCTCCATCCCCCAGAATTGCAGAACATTATATGTAAAAATAAACAATTTCTCTTTGACCCATGGCAAAATGAGTATATTTGCTTGACATTTGTTCTAAAATTGCAACATTTTCTCTCCACCCCATGGAAAAATGTGTAGAATTGCAGAACATTTGCTTTAAAACTGCAAAATTTTCTCTACACCCCATGGCAAAATGTGTAGAATTGCTGGAAATGTACTTTAAAACAAAAATATTTATCTCCACCATCAAGAGGGGGGCCACCAAAATGTTTTGCCACAAGGTGTGAGGCCCCCCAACCAAATCTCGCTTAGGGCCCCCAAAAGGCTAAAGCCGGCCCTGTATTTGCAGTAAGCAACATTTACATTTTTACATTTTAGTCATTTAGCAGACGCTCTTATCCAGAGCGACTTACAGTTAGTGAGTGCATATGAATTATACTAAAAACATAGCCTACAGTGTTTTCCAGCGAGCCATGTTTGTGAGCGAGTACTGAGCCTAACTTTCCCCTTAGGCATACTGCTTGAATGCAGTGTGACTTTTCAGTTTTATCTGGCAACGCCTGAATAATTATGTTCTCAACATCTGTCTTTTTAAAGAACAAAATGTTGCGAATTGGTGTGACTGTTGACGGGCATTTCCTGCCCAAGTTGTTGACTGAGAGTTTCCAAAACCATGAGATGCACAAGGTGCCATTTATGACGGGCACCAATACTGACGAAGGTTGGCTACTGGCGAACGTAAGTCAGCTTTGAACATGTATTTCAATATGTATAACAACTGAATATTGGATGTGATATTTTACGTGACTTGGATAGCACTTTAAGTTAAGATCATTAAGTTAACAACATAAAGTTGTTATTTCTGCTGTTTAGGAATGGTTTCAACAACTACAGGTAAAAGTCAGTAAATTAGAATATTTTGAAAAACTTGATTTATTTCAGTAATTGCATTCAAAAGGTGTAACTTGTACATTATATTTATTCATTGCACACAGACTGATGCATTCAAATGTTTATTTCATTTAATTTTGATGATTTGAAGTGGCAACAAATGAAAATCCAAAATTCCGTGTGTCACAAAATTAGAATATTACTTAAGGCTAATACAAAAAAGGGATTTTTTAGAAATGTTGGCCAACTGAAAAGTATGAAAATGAAAAATATGAGCATGTACAATACTCAATACTTGGTTGGAGCTCCTTTTGCCTCAATTACTGCATTAATGCGGCGTGGCATGGAGTCGATGAGTTTCTGGCACTGCTCAGGTGTTATGAGAGCCCAGGTTGCTCTGATAGTGGCCTTCAACTCTTCTGCGTTGTTGGGTCTGGCATTCTGCATCTTCCTTTTCACAATACCCCACAGATTTTCTATGGGGCTAAGGTCAGGGGAGTTGGCTGGCCAATTTAGAACAGAAATACCATGGTCCGTAAACCAGGCACGGGTAGATTTTGCGCTGTGTGCAGGCGCCAAGTCCTGTTGGAACCTGAAATCTCCATCTCCATAGAGCAGGTCAGCAGCAGGAAGCATGAAGTGCTCTAAAACTTGCTGGTAGACGGCTGCGTTGACCCTTGATCTCAGGAAACAGAGTGGACCGACACCAGCAGATGACATGGCACCCCAAACCATCACTGATGGTGGAAACTTTACACTAGACTTCAGGCAACGTGGATCCTGTGCCTCTCCTGTCTTCCTCCAGACTCTGGGACCTCGATTTCCAAAGGAAATGCAAAATTTGCTTTCGTCAGAAAACATGACTTTAGACCACTCAGCAGCAGTCCAGCTCTTTTTTTCCTTAGCCCAGGTGAGACGCTTTTCGCGCTGTTTCTTGGTCAACAGTGGCTTGACACGAGGTATGCGGCAGTTGAAACCCATGTCTTTCAAGCGTCTCTTGGTGGTGGATCTTGAAGCCCTGACTCCAGCAGCTGTCCACTCCTTGTGAATCTCCCCCACATTTTTGAATGGGTTTTTTTTTCACAATCTTGACTAGGGCGCGGTGATCCCTATCGCTTGTACACTTTTTCTGACCACAGTTTTTCCTTCCCTTTGCCTCTCTATTAATGTGTTTGGACACAGAGCTCTGAGAACAGCCAGCCTCTTCTGCAATAACCTTTTGTGTCTTTCCCTCCTTGTGCAATGTGTCGATGGTCGCCTTTTGGACAGCTGTCAAATCTGAAGTCTTCCCCATGTTTGTGTAGGCTTCAGAACTGGACTGAGAGACCATTTAAAGCCCTTTGCAGGTGTTTTGAGTTAATCAGCTGATTATTTTGTGGCACCAGGTGTCTTCAAAATGTAACCCTTACACAATATTCTAATTTTGTGACACACGGAATTTTGGATTTTCATTTGTTGCCACTTCAAATCATCAAAATTAAATGAAATAAACATTTGAATGCATCAGTCTGTGTGCAATGAATAAATATAATGTACAAGTTACACCTTTTGAATGCAATTACTGAAATAAATCAAGTTTTTCAAAATATTCTAATTTACTGACTTTTACCTGTATAGTAACAGCTTTAGGTTATATTAACATGTTATATCGTTCTTTAGCAATTGCTTTTCAAATGCATAGGAATGTAGTCGTTTTTTAAAATTAATATACAAGTGGAATGAGGGAGAGTCACTATTTCACTTTTATACACAATTACAATGCTCTTACCAAAGTACTGTGTAAGATGATAATACAATGTTGTTACTATGGAGAGTAACACATGTTTAAAGGGATAGTTTGGGATTTTTGCAATGCCCCTTTATCTACTTCCCTAGAGTCAGATGAACTTGTGGATACCATTTTTATGTATCTGCATCCAGTATAAAGGTACTTAGAGGTAGTTTCGCAAGCCAATGCTAAGTAGCATGCTAGCTGTTCACATAGACTTCAAGTCATTGCGCTAACACTAGTTAGCAATTGCGTTAAGCTAGTTAGCAACTTCCTTCAAACTGTATGCAGATGCATAAAAATGGTATCCACGACTTCATCTGACTCTGGGGAAGTAGATAAAGGGCCTCATTGCAAAAATCCACAACTATCCCTTTAAGAGTAACTTAACGTAAAGTGTCACTGTGACTTGATTTTCATTTTCCAATTGCAATGGTTGAATGTTGTACTCCCTGTACTCCCTAGATGATGGCACCTCCTGGTTGGGTGGATGGAATAGACCGGGATCAGGTCATGCCTCTTCTGGCATTATGTTACCCTGATGTAAGTATATGCAGTCACACCTGCCAAGAAATTGCTCAGATGAAATGCCTCATTACTGATTACAATACATGATGTGGCTTCACTGAATGGTCTTTGTCTCCTTCAGCCCAAGGATCAGTGGATAACTGAGCTGATAGCAGATGAATACCTGGGAACCTCTGGAGATCGGATTAAAAACCGTGATGGGTTCACTGAGCTGGTTGGGGATGCTTTGTTTACCATTCCTGCTCTTACGACAGCAGGCTTCCACAGAGGTAAGCTCAGGAGTCAATGACATTAAAGTGGATGTAGATGTTTCCTCACCCTGAAATTAGTGTATGGGCCGGGAGAAACTCTAATCCATGTTTTTTTTTTTTTTAAACAGCCGCTACAAACGTAAACTAACTTTAGCCACCGCTAGCTAAAATCAATGGAAGTGATAGGGGCAACCGTCCAATATTGTACATTTCATCATGACCAAATCAACAAAAATCAACTCCATCTAACATCAAATAAAATTCAAATACATTTTTATTGGTTGCATACACATATTTAGCAGATGTTATTGCGGGTGTAGTGAAATGCTTGTAAATCAAGTTATAAAATTCGGAACTTCCACTTTTTACTCTATTAATTATTAGAGGTTCAAGCGGCTAAACTGGGTGAAACCGTATTACATTTGTTGCCGTTTATTATTATTAATCCGGTTCTGCCAAAATTTGGTGAAAATATGCAAATTCCCGTGAGATAATAAGGAGGATGCAACCCTGCATGGTGGTAAAGGACCATGGGCCACACCCTCTCATGCAATGCCATGCTAATTGGCCACATGGTGGCGCTATTACAAGCAATTAAAAATGCACATTTTTGAAAGGTCACGCCCTCACCCGGTGTGACCTAGAGTCCTGAAATTTGGTATATTTATCCATCTCTTCACATTAAACAAAAAAGGATCAAATATGATGGATTTTACTCCATTTTGAATTTAGTGGAAAACACTTAAAACGCTACTCCTCTGGCACCGAATGACCGATCTGCACGAAACTTGATATATGGCATCAATGGACCAAGGTAAGTCAACACAATATTTTCCAGGCTAGCATCTCAAACAACATGGCCGCTACTTACCAATAAACATTAATGTGGCCGTGGTCTGGCACATAAATGCATATAAATCAGACACGGATATTAGTATTTTAACAAAACTTGATACACATCTTCCAAACACTGATAAGACTCAACATAAGCACACACATTGAGATCCACCACACAATGGTGCTATATCTCTTGATCTATTTGACTCGGCGATGACATTTTTCAAACATGCTCAGGGATGTGAGTCTAGGTTTGACCTTATGGTGGCGCTGTTGGACAGGAAAAACAATAATACAAGCTCATTGGCTTATAGCGGCCATGTTGTTTAAGGTAGAGTCTTGGGAAAAAAATATGTGTGTCCATAGATGCTATTGTGATGAGGTGTGAAGGAAGGAGTTAGGCGCAGGAGGTAAAATACCGAAGTCAAGAGTTTATTCCGTTTACATAAATCAAACACTCCCAGCATGAAAACGAAACTAATATAAGGGAAAATATTCCACCTTGGCAAGTACAAATGGAAGCTCAACCGAGCTACTCGCTCTCAAAATAAACAATCACTCACAAAGACAAGGGAAACAGAGGGAACACTTATACACATACTAATTAGGGGAATGAGCACCGGGTGTGTGTGATTGACAAGACAAGACATGACAAGTGGAGTGATGAGAATGGGATCGGCAGTAGCTAGTAAGCCGGTGACGACGAACGCCGAAACCTGCCCGCACAAGGAGGGGAGGCAGCCTCGGCGGAAGTCGTGACAGTACCCCCCCCCCCCCCCCTTGACGCGCGGCTCCAGCAGTGCGCCAACCCCGGCCTCGGGGACGGACAGGAGGACGTGGAGAAGGCTGAGTCAGATGGCGACGGTGGAAATCCCTCAACAGGGAGGGATCGAGGATGTCCCTCCTTGGGACCCAGCACAGTTCCTACGGACCGTACCCCTACCACTCCATGAGATACTGAAGGCCCCCCACCCGACGCCTCGAATCCAGTATGGAACGGACTGAGTACGCCGGGGCCCCCTCGATGTCCAGAGGAGGTGGAGGAACCTCCCGCACCTCAGACTCCTGGAGTGGACCAGCTACCACCGGCCTGAGGAGAAACACATGAAAGAAGGGGTTAATACAGTAATCAGTGGGGAGTAACATGCTGTAAGTTACCTCGTTTATCCTCCTCAGGACTTTAAACGGCCCCACAAACCGCGGGCTCAGCTTCCGGCAGGACAGGCGGAGGGGTAGATTCCGGGTCGAGAGCCAGACCCGATCCCCCGGTACGAAAACCGGGGCCTCCCTGCGGTGGCGGTCAGCGTTCGCCTTCTGACGACGCACGGCGCGCTGGAGGCGAACGTGGGCAGCGTCCCAAGTCTCCTCCACGCGCCGAAACAAGTCATCCACCGCAGGAGCATTGTTCTGGCTCTGGTGCCTATCCCTACCTCGGACGCATCCACCTCCACTACGAATGGTAGTGATGGATCGGGGTGAGCCAGTACCGGGGCGGAGGTGAACAGATCCCGCAATCTACTGAAGGCCAAATCAGCCTCAGCAGACCAGCGGAGCCGGGACGGCCCACCCTTCAACAAGGAGGTAATGGGAGCTGCGACCTTGCCAAAGCCCTGAATAAACCTCCGATAGTAGTTGGTAAAGCCAAGGAAGTGCTGCACCTCCTTCACCGTGGTTGGAGTCGGCCAATTACACACGGCTGCAATGCGATCTCCCTCCATCTCCACACCTGTGGTAGTAATGCGGTATCCGAGGAAGGAGATTGACTGCTGGAAAAACTCACTTCTCTGCCTTGGCATAAAGATCATTTTCCAGCAGTCGGACCAGTACCATGCGAACCAGGGACACATGCTCGGCGCGCGTAGAGGAATACACCAGGATGGAAGAGTAGCTCAACCGAGCTACTCGCTCTCACAATAAACAAAGACAAGGGGAACAGGGGGAACACTTATACACATACTAATTAGGGGAATGGTGTGTGTGATTGACAAGACAAGACATGACAAGTGGAGTGATGAGAATGGGATCGGCAGTAGCTAGTAAGCCGGTGACGGCGAACGCCGAAACCTGCCCACACAAGGACGGGAGGCAGCCTCGGCGGAAGTTGTGACAGCTATATACTAAATTTTGGTCCAATTGGTCAAGCGGTTCTGGAGAAGAAAACGTTTAAAGTAGTCAACATCATAAAAAAGAGTCCAAAATACAGGTAACTACTAAAATGAAGGAAACACCAACATATAGTTTCTTAATAATGCTTTGGGCGACCACGAGCCACCAGAACAGCTTCAATGTGCCTTGGCATAGATTCTACAAGTGTCTGGAACTCTATTGGATGGATGCGACACCATTTTTCCACAAGAAATTCCACAATTTTGTGTTTTGTTTGAAAACGCTGTCTCAGGTGCCACTGTTCAATTGGGTTGAGATCTGGTGACTGAGACACACACACACACACACACACACACACACACACACACACACACACACACACACACACTTTAAACCCCCCTATGCTCCTTTGAGACCCTTCTTTCAAAGTCACTGAGATCTCTTCTTCTAGCCATGGCAGCCAAAAATAATGGCCAACTGGGCATTTTCATACATGACCCTAAGCATGATGGGATGTTAATGAGTTAATAAACTCAGGAACCACAGCTGTGTGGAAGCATCTGCATTCAATATACTTTGTATCCCTCATTTACTCAAGTTTTTCCTTTATTTGGTAGTAACCTGTACATCAAAAGCATGTTGCATGATCTGTTTGATTTTGAGTTCTGATATTCAGCAAGCATGGTAAGAGTACAGAAGTAGCTCATCCTAGAGTGATGTGTCCAATTTGTCCTGATAGTGGTGCTGTGGCTGCTTGCAGCTATGTTTTATATATGTTCTTAGTTTGTGGAGATGGTTGTGTGCAATCTTTCCATAATTGTTACTGTCTTATCCCACACAACAGATGCAGGTGTGCCTGTGTACCTGTATGAGTTCCAGCAAACTCCCAGCATGCTTAAGAAGATGAGGCCGAGTTTTGTTGGGTCTGACCACGGAGATGAGCTTATGTTTGTTTTTGGATACTGCTTCACAACATCACATATTACAATTGATGGTAAATAAATACTCTACCAACTCTACCTGCAATATATACAAAAGTATGTGGACACCGCTTCAAATTAGTGGATTTGGCTATTTCAGCCACACCCGTTGCTGACAGGTGTATAAAATCGAGCACACAGCCATGCAATCTCCATAGACAAACATTGGCAGTAGAATGGCTTTACTGAAGAGCTCAGTGACTTTCAACGTGGCACCGTCATAGGATGCCACCTCTCCAACAAGTCAGTTCATCAAATTTCTGCCCTGCTAGAGCTGCCCCGGTCAACTGTAAGTGCTATTTTTGTGAAGTGGAAACGTCTAGGAGCAACAACGGATCAGCCGCGAAGTGGTAGTCCACACAAGTTTACAGACAGGACCGCTGAGTGCTTCCAACTTTGTGGCAACAGTTTGGGGATGGCCCTTTGCTGTTTCAGCATTACAATGCCGCGTGCACAAAGCGAGGTCCATACAGAAATGGTTTGTCGAGATCGGTGTGGAAGAACTTGACTGGCCTGCACAGAGCACTGACCTCAACCCCATTGAACACCTTTGGGATTAATTGGAACACTGACTGCGAGCCAGGCCTAATCGCCCAACATCAGTGCCCGACCTCACTAATGCTCTTGTGGCTGAATGGAAGCAAGTCCCCGCAGTAATTTTCCAACATCTAGTGGAAAGCCTTCCCAGAAGAGTGGAGGCTGTTCTAGCAGCAAAGGGGGGACCAACTCCATATTAATGCCCATGATTTTGGAATGAGATGTTCGACGAGCAGGTGTCCACATACTTTTGGTAATGTAGTCTATGTCATACAAGCACTCACCACTAACTAGCTACTAACTCTGGAATTGTGTCTTACAGCCTTATGTACAGAGGAAGATGAACATCTTAGCGGAATCATGATGAGTTACTGGGGCAACTTTGCTCGTACAGGGTAGGAGCTTGTTCTATGTTTTTAAAACAAATATTTTAAACAAAAATAATAGGTAACAGTTATAGATTCTTAACTTCACTGTGTGTGTGTGTGTGTGTGTGTGTGTGTGTGTGTGTGTGTGTGTGTGTGTGTGTGTGTGTGTGTGTGTGTGTGTGTGTGTGTGTGTGTGTTTAGGTCTCCTAACGGGGCTGGCCTGGTTCAGTGGCCACAGTACGGACCAGAAGGAGATTACCTGGGGATTGGGCTGGAGCAGGTACCTGGTCAACACCTGAAGAGGGACCGTTTCACCTTCATGACAAAGATCCTCCCTGAGAAAGTGCGTTTGGTTCAAGAGAAGATTAAGCACAGCGAGCTGTAAAGCTCATCTCAAAGGTTTTGCATTATTCAACTCAGACTGTTAACTGAAATCAAACTTCAAATGTACTGTGGTATTGCTAACAATTGAAGGTTTTATTTTATATCTGAATGCCTTACAGGATCAAGAGCACAATGTAACATGACCTAGAGCACAAATTAACAATGATATGGATGCACTGAATGTATGAATACAATCTCATATTAACTTTTAAGGAAACACTGAAACACTTATTCTACCGTGAGCTACCTCATTGACCCTTACTAATCCAAGTTGATCTTATGGCATTTACATGGAGAATTTAGTCCTGTGTAGCTCAGTTGGTAGAGAATGGCGTTTGCACTAACTGTAAGTCGCTCTGGATAAGAGCGTCTGCTAAATGTTTTAAAAAATAAATAAAAATCCAAATGCAACAGTTCATTGACTAAAAAAGACTGTGTTTTTTTCATTTTCCAACCCACTGCTATTCACTGGAGTCATTTGAGGCGGCTCTAGTAGTAGGCCTACAGTATGTGAAGCGAGCATGACATGCCTTGGATATTTTCTGGGAATAGGGCAGCAGGGGTTCTGCAGGGGTCAACAAATGAGGCTCTTCCTGAACTTTTTCTCTGCTCTCCCAGTGTCACCTGCCTGCAATTGCTAATAACCCATCCTCAACCACCCAACTAGGCTATATGGGCCCGATTTCGACTTAGGAAATCATGCTCTTCTTATGCATGCCTTTCCTATGCACTTCCCAGTAGTTGTTATTCAGACTTACCTTATGAAGGTGTGTAAGTACATTTATCTTAGCCATCCCTTTAAATATGTGTAGCCTACCTTTCAGTTCGAATTTTGTCGACAGACTCAATAGAATATATTGAGAGAAGGGGTTAAGAATATTAGGGATCAATTAAAGAAAGCCATCTAAATATATGCATATTCAGCTTCAGCACCAATTGATAGATTTAAAAAATACTCTGATCTTGTAGATTATTTAGGGTTAGGAAAGTATTTATGAATCATAAAAAACAGGTTTGGAGAGCCTTTATGCACGAATGAAAGAAAACGATGGTTTGATTCATTCAGAAAATGACACTTTCAGTTCTTTAACCCATGGTAATGTTGGAAGATTAGTGTACATATAATTATAATAGGGAGAATAGTGTACAATAGTAGGCTATACCCTCGTCTATTGCCCACACTAACTATGGAACTGTGTGATGACACAGCCAAGTATTGCGTCATGCATCGGCTTCAAACAGTTAAGGCTTGGTCTGCGTTCCACTCCATAACGATTTGATTAGCCGACATGTCTTTTTTTTTATATTATCAACTGTTACAAATGATCCTCAGCAACAACCACATGTCCGTGATGGCGTTTACAGAGGAAGCAAATGAAGCTAAAGAAACAATGTAATTAAATGGAATGATAATGTAGGCCATACCAACTGAAGGGAACTAACAGTAAATTGGCAGTTGATATGTGTTGTTATTTGTCTCCAGCGATTATAAGGTAAAGTATTTCTAAAACAAGTCATCAAAGCAAATGTATTTATAAAGCCCTTTTTACATCAGCAGATGTCACAAAGTGCTTATACAGAAACCCAGCCTAAAACCCCAAACAGAAAGCAATGCAGATGTAGAAGCACGGTGGCTAGGAAACCTATCTAGAAAGTCAGGAACCGAGGAAGAAACCTAGAGAGGAGTACTAAAGTACTTGGAACCGATGGGTTCGCTAGACATTATTAATGGTTTCCTCACGTGTAAAGGAGGGGGAATTATTGAGAAGGGTGCTACTGCAGCCCGCAATTCGACGCGTTCGAACCCCTCTTTATACTTTTATTGGTACATATTTAAGCTATGACTCCTGTACATAGGAAGAGGCCTTCCAGTACAGTAGATGGTGGTAATGCACTATAACGTTGGGTGCCAACCGCCGATAAACCCCACAGAAGAAGAGGCGGGGATAGCTAGGAAACACCGGTAGTGTCCTTCGCCCCAACCTGTCGGGCACTGTTTTCCTGCAGTTCTGTTAAAGATGGCGAGGGCAGATGGGAGCAAAGAACACTGTGTGCTAGCTTAGCCAGCTAGTCCTAAGGAGGACTCTGTTACACAGCAGGCTGAGGCAAAAATACCTATAGATAATACTTTTATTTCCCTTTTGTACCACATTCAAAAGTGTCACACAAGCATGAAAAGGAATGCCCACATGCAGGAACGCCCCCGAATTGCGGGCTGCAGTTGCACACTATTGGAATTATTTGGGATTTAAATCAAAGTCAGAATACAGCATATCTGTAGACACACCTCCGCCACACCTTCATTTATTCGATCTCCACCCAAAACGAATAGCAGGTGAATAGCACTATTCCCATGCTTAAATTCAAGGTCAGAATACGCATAGAGAGAAAAGTGCATAAAAACATTATGTTCCATTTACACGCGCTTAACTCAGGTCGGGATCTGGCCTATCGTGATATAGTCCCCTGTAGCTCAGTTGGCAGAGCATGGCGCTGGCAACGCCAGGGTTGTGGGTTCGTTTCCCACGGGGGGCCAGTTTGAAAATGAATGCACTCACTAACTGTAAGTCGCTCTGGATAAGAGCGTCTGCTAAATGACTAAAAATGTAAATGTAATAAAGTGAAAATCTGAGGCCCGCACCCGACCCTAACCTGCAAAAATTGAAAATCTGCTGTAGGCTACAGTCAGAGACAGCAGAACGTTTTTTGACAGGGGTGCAGGATTTTTTGGGGCCCAATTTAGATATGTTTCTGCTTATAGTTTCCAACATTTTGGTGGGTATTTGTTAGTCAACCTGTCTATAAGATACATGCAGCTTCTCTTCTGTCATTATATGTTGCCCTAGAGGACTAAATAAACCCTTGTTCACCATAATAATGTCATAAATTATAGAACATCTGTAAAGTTTTCTCTGCTTTGTAAGCGGAGCAAAGACGTTTAGGGACCCGGGAGAAAATGCAATTTAAAACAACTAAAACTAGTGGATAAGATTTTATTTGCAAAATTTCCAAATAACATCAGTTTGACCAGTTGTAAGGAAATAGAAAGCTGGGAAAAATACCCAACATGTTTCTGATAAGATTTCAGTTCGGCTTGGATGCATATTTAAAGTGGTTGGAATACTAAAGCTTTTATGATGCTGATATAACAGCACCTCTACAGATGGTCCCTAAATGTGTATTCCCATTCTCTCATGATGCTGAAAGAAATAAATCTCTACTCCTGTTCCCGAGACAAAATGTACATTTGGTGTATAATTTTACTGCAAGAAATATTTAATTCTGCAGGAGTTAGTCTTTAATATTATGTGAGAGGTTCAGAGGAGGCTGGTGAGAGGAGCTACAGGAACAGGCTCATTGAAATGTCTGGAATTGAATTTTTGGAAAGGTATCAAGCACAAACATATGGAAACCACATGTTTGACTCCGTTCCATTTATTCCATTCAAGCCATTACAATGAGTCCGCACTCCTATAGCTCCTCCCACCAGCCTCCACTGGAGAGGTTATAGACCTACAGTCAGTGTCCAGATTTAAGTTTCCATTTAACCCATCTGAACAGTAGGCTACAGTTCCCTTGACGTGCCATAGGCCTATTTGAAGTCCCCTTCTTGTGGCTGTCAAATTTGTATAGCGGCTCACAATCATCACATATAACATACAGTGAGGGAAAAAAGTATTTGATCCCCTGCTGATTTTGTACGTTTGCCCACTGACAAAAAAATGATCCGTCTATAATTTTAATGGTAGGTTTATTTGAACAGTGAGACAGAATAACAACAAAAAAATCCAGAAAAACGCATGTCAAAAATGTTATAAATTGATTCGCATTTTAATGAGGGAAATAAGTATTTGACCCCCTCTCAATCAGAAAGATTTCTGGCTCCCAGGTGTCTTTTATACAGGTAACGAGCTGAGATTAGGAGCACACTCTTAAAGGGAGTGCTCCTAATCTCAGTTTGTTACCTGTATAAAAGACACCTGTCCATAGAAGCAATCAATAAGTCATATTCCAAACTCTCCACCATGGCCAAGACCAAAGAGCTCTCCAAGGATGTCAGGGACAATATTGTAGACCTACACAAGGCTGGAATGGGCTACAAGACCATCGCCAAGCAGCTTGATGAGAAGGTGACAACAGTTGGTGCGATTATTCGCAAATGGAAGAAACACAAAATAACTGTCAATCTCCCTCGGCCTGGGGCTCCATGCAAGATCTCACCTCGTGGAGTTGCAATGATCATGAGAACGGTGAGGAATCAGCCCAGAACTACACAGGAGGATCTTGTCAATGATCTCAAGGCAGCTGGGACCATAGTCACCAAGAAAACAATTGGTAACACACTACGCCGTGAAGGACTGAAATCCTGCAGCGCCCGCAAGGTCCCCCTGCTCAAGAAAGCACATATACAGGCTCGTCTGAAGTTTGCCAATGAACATCTGAATGATTCAGAGGAGAACTGGGTGAAAGTGTTCTGGTCAGATGAGACCAAAATCGAGCTCTTTGGCATCAACTCAACTCGCCGTGTTTGGAGGAGGAGGAATGTGTCAAGGTAGATGTAGGTGGGTGTGGTGGTGGAATCAGGCGCAGGACGCAGAACGTTAGTCCAACAGACTTTAGTAGATGCACACAAAAACAATCACGAATCAATGCCCTGAGGCGAAAACTCCGCACGTAGGCGAAAATAACGGGCGCACTAACAGGTGCGACAAAACACTCCAAACAATATGGAGAAATAGCTCAACCGAGCAAACAGTAGAATAACAGCCTACCGGCACGACAGTAAAACAATAACACACAACACTAGACAAACACAACAAGAACTTATAGGACACTAATTACACTAAACGATAACAGGTGTAACAACAATCAGACAAAAGCAAACGAACATAGAAACATGCAACGGTGGCAGCTAGTATTCTGGAGACGACGAACGCCGAAGCCTGCCCGAGCAAGGAAGAGAGGCAGCCTCGGCCGAAACCGTGACAGTACCCCCCCCCC